TATTTGTCTTGTTTGACACCATCTACGTAGAAACCTACACAGGGGAAGCTATGAACTTCAAGGGAATTCGAAAAAGAAACTGAATACAAACATATCCGAGTTCTTTGGCGGCGACCAGAGGCAGTTTCGTTTGATGAGTTTTGCACAAATTAATACTTTTGAAATTCAGTTTTGTGTAGTTAGGGCACTTCTGGCTCTAAGAGCGCATGATATTCGTCCGGGGTGACAGAATTAATCAATGTTGATTGTCAACAGTGAGAGGAAACAAGTTGCAATAAACTTGCTCTAGTATTCAACGGCTCCAAATATAAGTCTTGCAAAATGCCGAGAGCTCTCTAAGTATTAACCTGTTGATACTCCAAAAGCAAAACTATCAAAACTGTAAAACAAGTATGTGTGGGTGACCAGCTTTCTAATTAATGATGTTGGTAGCTTTATTCAAAAGATATCGGCAATGGACAAGAGTTGTTGGTTTTGGGTTTTAAAGCTGTATAAATTGGGTTTGAGAATTGAGCGTTGAGGTGAACCGTGAGCGACCACGAACACAACGGAGGCGGTAAACTCTGTAACAATTTGAAAATAATCAAAGAGAATTCAAAGGAAACCCAGCCAAGTTGTCTCAAACTAAATAGGTTAACCCACCGTTCGTCTTAAGTTTTGGATTAATAGTCGGATAGGAAGATTTCTTACCAGGAACATATTTCGGCGCAGTTACAGAGAATTTATCCCGAGACCTCAGCTCTTAAACGAATGTCTCGATGATTCTCCTATGTAAAATGCTTCAAGTTCCACACTTAGAATATTGTAATGCACTTTAAGTTCGTCTTGGTAATGTGCAGAGCGATAGACTCGAAGATGCTAACTATTATATCTTAAGAACTCTATTTAGGAATAAGAATGTAAGCTGAGAAACCTTAATGAATCTCGTAGGCATGAATATTTGAAACACCGTCGTTATTATCAAGCTCTGGTGTTGATTTATAAATGTCTTAACTCAATAGGTCCAAAGTACACTACCGATTTTCTGAATTTAAGGGATGTATGTTATAAGCTTAGGGGTCAGGGAAGTAACTTGGTACAGCATCATCTTAACACTGATTGGACGCATAAATCCTTTTCATTTATAGCTGTGGAATAAGCTACCGTTATACATTAGAAACTCAGATGATCTTTAAATGTTTATAAAGGCTCTTGATAAGTTCAACTTAGTACCTTTATACTAGTTTTTGTCTTGCATACGCTATTAGGTTATTTTATCATAAATTTTTTTCTCTAATCTAGTCTATTCTTTGCCATCATTGTTTGTGGCTTTTCCTAGTATCTATGTCAAATCTTTTGCTCTTTTTCAATGTTATATTTTTATGTAATGATGTCGTTTTTAATGTACTACGTATTCCATCTTGAGTAGCTAAAGTTTTTTTCCTTTGAGTTTTTGTATTTATATTCCACTCGTGTACGTTTGAACGAGTTTTTGTTTACTCTTGGGTTTTTACGTGTATGAATAAATTACTTACTTACTTACTAGCTTAACAAGTTAGTCGTGTAGCTTTTCAGAAAGTTTTGCTTACAATGTTGTTTTCCATCGCTTCTCCGTAAGCTGAAATACAAACCCTCCTAATGTGAGCCCTTATGATTGCTTTCTTACAAATTATATCAAAAGCTAGTTTAATTTTCAATCCTGGAAAGTTTTCTACACACTTCTATCAAAAGAGAGTTTCCTGAAAACCACGCGCTTCTATTTGCCTGAATTTGTCTCAGCACTCAATAGACATCGACTTTTTACTTTGCTTTTGCTCTCTGTTAATCAAACAGACATAATCAACTCTGGGAAGGAAATCGTAACGCTTGAGAGGAAGTCCGAGTGAAAGAAATTTTTTTTCTAATTTTTCTTCTGTGATTCCCGACTGAAATTTTTAATTACACTGCGTACAAACAAAGTTTGTAAGTAACGTGTTGGTATAGCAGTTATTTGCATCGGGTGAACTGCTATCGACAATGAACAAAGCGAACTATCGCTACTTAGTACATAAGAAAAAAATTGACAACCACAAGTTCAAATAATTTCGACAAAAGGTAAAATATTTTTTTTATCAATTTTAGTCCAAGAAGAACCACTTTCGAAGAAAACATGAGAACCACACAATTTTGCCCTAAGCAATGCGTACTTTGGATAAGTTTGTGTCTCAATGCACTCGGTCAAAATATCGCCGCTGCGAATTGTTTTGCAATAAGTTTATGAGAATGTTTAGTGAAGGAGATGGTTGTAATTGCTATATCCATGCAACTGAAACATTTACACATTTTGCCCCAGAGCTCGTCATGATAGCCGATGATTTTCTGATAGCTCATAAAGAAAATGAACGATGACTATTTGCAAACATGAAACTCAACAGTTAATACGATTAACTCAACATTTAAGTTACGATATAGAGAATCCCGAGTTTATTTTAGTAGACGGTATTCTTGTTCGCATGCTTCATTCTAAGACACTTTTGATAATTGAAAACGACAAGACTGTGGAAGTTTTCAAGGTCATGCTTCAGCGCTTCCTATTCCGTGCCAGCGATAAATGTTTGCCTCCCTGATCACTGGTATGAAGCAAAAAGCAAGATATCTGGAAAACTGGATGCCAATACAGAAAAGCATTCGCGGTACAAACTATAGAAGAAAACCAATATTCGGCCCTTAACTTTCCAAAAGTCGCTTTGGTAATTAGCTAAGATACTGTTTTTCAGTGAAGCTGAATAAACTACGCGTACGTGTTAAGGCATAAATTAAGCGTACATCAAAAACACTTTCTCCCAATGGGCCTCTTGACAAGAACTTACGAGGTTTATTTTCATTACATTTTCAAACATAGTGTATCACAAAGCATGCATTAAGTGGTCTCTAAGTTTGGGATGGTAACCTCATAGATAAACAGGAATTTTCTTGCGCAACCGTTGAATACGCCCATTTAGAAAAACGAGTCATTATCTAGTCACTGGTGGGAAAAATGAAAAATGTCACATCGTCTTTCCTTTCAACATTTTGGTCACGTTCTGTTTTACAGAGTTGGACAACATGACAGAATCGACAGTAACCTTGTGGGGGTGGGGGATATTTTCGAGGACGTAAAGTGTTGAGATGTCGAAAGATCGTATAAACTCAGCTTAGTGAACCGATGTTGACTACCTTTAATCTGGCTTGCTTCATTTGTGTGAAACAGAAATGGACTCACAATATATGTCTGTGGCACTGTTTATTGTTCGAAAAAACGTCGTGATTAAACAAACTTGTAATGGTTAGTTTAGAATTTTAATTTTTTTTTATTTATCGACTGTTAACAAAAGGACACTTGTTGTAACAGACTTTTGAGCATCTCAGTAAACTCGTTGATGGCCATTTATCAGAACAGCCAATAGTCATCCGTGGCATTACTTTCGTAACAATCCGTCTGCAAGCATTTTGAAATTCTGTTTTGTGCTGTTATTATAATTATCATTATTTATCAATGATACAAGGTTTCCTAATTTTTAATAAGGATGATTGAGTCTATTAAAATTAGTAATCCACTGCCTAAGCCATAGCTACTTGTAATAGAAAAAGTATTCTACAAAAATAATGTTTAAGATTATCTTCTTCGGTGAAGATGATAGACAGTCAGCCCTCCCGAGTAAAGTTTTAGTTACAGACTCTTTATGGCAAATAGGGGTGGTGAGAGTCGAAAGCGAGGTATTTGCCAAGATAGGTGGTTTTCTTTTCTTTGTTAAGAGGGTTAGAATTTGACACAAGATGGCAGCCAAGCGTGAACAATACGGTCACAATGGCGGCAAATTTGTTAAAGACATGAATAACAGAAAGAAGAAATCCAATTAATCCAAGTAGTTTTCTTAATTAAACTTTCTTTCAGTGAAACTTTATCCTTTTAACTGAACAATGCCTTCCTCTTCAATTCAGTACAAATAATTTCAATGGAATTTCTCTGATTACATTCTCGTTTCTGTTCTATCTATATTTGCCACGATTCTGCTCTGCAGATTCTCATCGATAGATCTGTAATCTAATTTCCAAGGAAGATTTCAATCAAAGGCGAAGGCTACTATCTCAAACTGTCGAGTGAATGCTATTCTGTTCACCAAACCTATTGTGTGCGTGCATGCGTTCCAACCGATTTACGCTCCACAAGAAATGGACTATTTTTAGAGTTTTCAAGAGGAAACCGTTTTGACTGTTACGAAGTACTTAGTTAGTTCAGTATCATTTTCTCATTCGGTAATATTTAGCATATAGTTACTGTATGAATTAAAAGTCCGAAGTTATTTCGGTTAAAGCTCTCGCGATGAGTTTCCAAATCGACTGTTTTGTCTATTTTCCTTCCGTGGACGTGCTTAGTTTGTCTCTATAGTGACCTTGCTTTGGACCCACACGAATTAAAGTTCTTGTTTTGAGCTTACGCAGTCAAATATTGATTCAGTTGAGCGAAAGCAATCAGTACATTGTTGTTCATTTGTGAGATTCTTGTAAAAGTGTTTGGGTTAGTGATCTAACAACAAATGTTTAATCTTCAAGGTCAGTTAGCTAGCATGCCCACTCATGCTTACCGATAGTAAATATATAAGCATGTACTTTAGAGTTTACATAGTAGTTAGTAAGAATTACAAGAGTGAGATTCAGCCGGTAAGAATCAAAGTGTGAGAATCAGAGAGAGATCAATCAGAGGTACAATCAGAGTGAGGTAAAATTGATGTAAGTAGAATTGTATATTAGAGAGCAGAGAGACTAAAAAGGACTGAGAAACGACAGGTAGTCTAGTGTTAACTATGAGTTGAAAACATAAATTGGCCACCATAATGAGTGAAAAGGCTGACGTTTCGAGCGTTAGCCCTTCGTTGGATCGCTCTGACGAAGGGCTAACGCTCGAAACGTTAGCCTTTTCACTCTTTATGGTGGCCAATTTATGTTTTCAACTCAGTTGTTCACACTAAATGACCTGCTATACTCTCCCACCGACGCAGCACTACAGTTTCCTTAGAAACTTATCCCCTTCACCGAGAAAAGACAGACCGAGAGTCCTTGGTGCCTTTCGTAAAAGGGTGTTGAGGTCTGCAGCTAGTTTTACCGTCACTGAGACCCAACATAACAATAAAGTCCGGAGTAGAAAAATAGCGAACAACGACGGTTTAGGAAGGTGAAGCCGAATTGACAGGAATAGAAAATGAAGAAATGAAGAATTCAAGTTAAATTTTACAAGATATTCGCTGCCAAGACTCTCTCAGCCTTTCAAGGATCAAAGCTGTTAACAAAATTCTAATATTGGTGGACACTCAGGTATCTTTCCAAGCACAAAACTGTCCGCCCTGAAGGCCTGCATATCTTCTTCACTACAAGTCAAAGGTACAGGTGTTGACTGTTCCATTGATGAGGTGGCTTCTGGAGTAGATCTTTGTAGAGAGAACGAAAATCAAAACAAGTTCAAGTGCGTTATTAGTTACATTTTCACTGCACTAAGTCTTCTTTCCCCAAAATTTCATGTCGCAAAAAAACTCGCCAATTTGATTCACAAACTTTCCAAATAGTTATCTTGATCAAACTTTCTTTCAGTGAAACTTGATCCTTTTCACTAAACAATGCTTTCCTCTTCAATTCGTCACAAATAATTTCAATGGAATTTCTCTGATTACGTAAAGCGATGAAATACATGCACAACGCTGAAATACATGTACAGTACATTCTTGGTTTTTGCCTTCAACATTTTTCTCTCGCGTAGAAAATTCAAACTTGTTAATGACAATAATAATGTAATGATGAAAAATTCAAACTTGATAGTGACTAACCAAAGAGAGATCACAAACAGACGCGATCTATAACTTTCTCGTATCTTTCGCTTGAAGATTTCAACTGAATTTTTGGTTTTAGACTCTTGACAAAATAAACGAAATGAAGTAACGTTATATTGTCTAAAAGTAACGATCGTATCGATTTATAAACACAAAATCATGATTCCATTGAAAGTTTTATCGATGCGACAAGAATAACAAAGAAAGCGAGCTAAACAGGCTCCTCAAAGACTTCATTCGCATATAGACCTGCCTTTATCAAGATCCAGCGAGTAAAGACTACCTTCATATCTTAGGAAGCGATTGCTCAGAAAGGAAAAAAATAAAGTCGCAAAAATGGAGCTAAATGACTTTCCTGTGTTCTAACTGACCGTGGAGCAGCTCAGCTTACCCACCAACACCCTCCACGAGAAAAAATTGTCAGGCCTTAGGCAAGTTTGTGAAATTGAAGTAACAGCTTGGCTCTTCTGTTTTTGTTGCTGTTAAAAATGACCAGATACACCTACCATTGAGCTGCTTGATCCATTGTCTTTCTGTACTTGGGATTCACTCAGAAAAACCCCAGTCACTGTCTGTAAAGGTATAGAACCAAACACTCCAGGTTTTGATTCAGTTTTTACTCCAAAGAAGCCAGTATTTGAAGTGGCTGATTGGTTTTAGTTTGTACTAAACATAGTCGCGGATTGGCTAGTTAAAGGAAAACTGGTCATTCCAGTTTGCTGATTGCTGGCACTTAAAGTATTCTAAAAAACATTTCCAGTCCTCGCTGGGACATTGCTCTGTCCAAACAGGCTTACTTGATCGATAGAATTACTTGTGCTGATTAAGTTACTTTGTTGGTTCAATGTAGCTGCTGGAGATGAGAAGCCAGTCGACTGAAAAACAGGGCCACTAGTTGCAAAACTACTCATCTGACCAAATGAACAATGTCCATTAAAACCTATCCCTGGTTGTGTCTGTAGCATTGATGATCCTGCTTCCATTGACTCTGCTGCCTTATGGCTGCGCTGCTTCTTTATCTCTTCTTGCTGGTAATGAAAAACAAAATTGTCCAAGTGTTTCAAAAAGAACATATCAGGGAGGCTTAGGGAGTCTCCACAGATATCAGGACTGTATTTTTTCAATCAATCTTTACTGAGGGAACCAACATCACCATAAGTGGTTTACAGAATGGTCCTCACAACATATGATCACATTTAAATGACGGTAGTGACAAGCAACTGTGGGCATTTATCAATCTGTAATATCCAGTAATTGAACACTAGAAAGGCCCATTCATGACACCGACATCAGTCATCCCTGTTAGTGCATGGAGGATAATTCACAACTTTCTCATCACTATTTTCAAAGATAGACAAAACTGTTTGTTGCTATATGTGTTCAAGGAAAGAATACTGTATAAAAGGTTTATTTTTTGAGCTTACAATCTGTGAGACTGACATGCGTCCTAATTGCTACCGCTTTTGTTGATTAGCAGTGATAAGAGTTTTCAGTCCTTGTTGCTGTAAACAAAACCAAAAATTGGATAATTAGAGTGAGTTTGAAATATCTGAGGAAAATGTTAATTCAGCCCCATGTCAGAACAAACATCTCTTCCTAAAATTCTGAGTTATGAATCTTAACCCCTAAGAGTGACTAGCATCTAAATTCTCCTTACAGTATCAACTATATCTGAGGAAAATGTTAATTCAGCCCCATGTCAGAACAAACATCTCTTCCTAAAATTCTGAGTTATGAATCTTAACCCCTAAGAGTGACTAGCATCTAAATTCTCCTTACAGTATCAACTCTGAATAAAAAAATTTACGACAATTAAGGAACTGATTGCCGAACAAAGCTCTTACTTGTGAAACAAAATTTCCTTGTCAGCACCATAGGAAATGTATAGAGAACAGTATGGAGAATAAGCATGCTGATGTTAGAGTGTAAAGGATTAAAGTAAAATCTAGATATAGATTATCTTACATAGCTATCAGCCTTCCCTTCAGCATTTGCATTGTATGCCTCAAGGCGAATTTCTTCTGGAGAGAAGTCCAGCAAACTTAAAATAACATTCATAACACAAGTCATCATTATAATAATTTAACACAAGTACCACGTGCACATAACTTTTCAATGGGGCTACCATTTAATAGCTGCTACTGTAGAGTGCGTGACATGTTTTGTTGAGTTCATGAACCACAAAGGGTGTCGGGT